GGCGGGGTTGGGCGGGGCGGTGCAATGGCCTCCCCGCGGCTGCTCCTGGCGAGTGCAGCTGCCGCTCGAGCCGCTGTAACGGTGTAGTGAGTGATGGACAACGTGAGGTGCGGCGAGACCAGGAGGGGGCAGGCGCGGGTGTGCGCGGGGTGTGAACGCAAGATGAAGATGAGAGCGGACAAATAGCCATAATGCATTATTTCTAATTTTAAAGGGGTGCATGCTTGTATGCTCTTGTTTTCTTTTTTACTCCGTCCCGTGGCGGGTGACATCGGTGAATATACGCAAGTAACGTCCAGATAAATTAGCCGCGTGATTGTGGCTGCTCGCGGGTTCCCTGCCCTGCCCTGCCCCGCCCGCCCAGCAGCGTGGATCGTCTTGTTTCCTGGCCGTCGAGTCGCCCCCCCCCCACCCCTCCCGCTCCCGGCAGCCCGCGCCCAGCGGGTGTGCTGAGGTCGGGAGCATTGCCAGAAGACACCGTCAACAAAACACGAGCGTCTGACCAGTGCGGGGCGGGGCGGCGCGGTGCTGGCCTGGCAGCTGGGGCAGCTCAGCCCGCTGAGTGGCGGCCTGCTCCCGGCCCCGCCGCCCCCGCCCTCCAGTGCCCCCCAGGGCGGCACTTACGAGGGACACGTGCCAGATCTTGGTGGACAGGTTGGTGAGGAACTCCCTCTTGTTGGGGTCGAATCGGTCGGAGGGCTTGAAGCCCCTGCCGGACACGACGACGCTGTTGGCCGATGCGGAGCGCCGGATGGAGTGGTGGTGGTGCTGCTGCTGGAACGTCTCGGTGCGCTCGGAGCGCAGCCAGCTCGTGTCGCCCCGGATGGTCATGGTGGCCGCCGTGCTCGTGTCGCTGTCGCCGAGGTGGTGCCGGTGGTGGCGCCGCGGCCCTCGCTAGGGCAGCCCCGCGCCGGCCATGCCCTGATTCAGTCCACTGCGGGTGGCGTGAGCGTGACGGGGTGTGTCTGCTGCTGGAGCAAGCGCCTGCGAGGTAGGCAATCGTACGCTCTGGTGCTCCGCGATTGCCTACCCCTCAGGCGCCTTCCTCCGAAATGAAGCGAGAACAGAGCGGTTGGTGTTCCGAGCCGTCCGGCGCAGTTCCTCGCCCCCTCCCCCGACTCCCCCCCTCCCTCCCTACGCCCGCTGCTGCAGACCTGCAGCGTGGTCTGGTCTGACCCGACTTGCATGGCTTCGCGGTGGCCGCCGTCCCTATAAGACGCTGCTGACGTACGCGGCGCGACGTCAACTCGACACGAACTTGGAAGGAAAGCGAAAACGAGGCTGCTCTGGGAGTGGTTTTCGCACTCCCCCAGACAGGGGCGTACTATACGCCGAGCCCAACCCTTCTTCTAAAACAATAACAACACACTTAATTTAACTTCTTTCTGGCGTCACTGCTGCGAAATAATTAGTTGAACGGCGGGCTCGCCTGTCGTTGGCCAGCCCTGCTCAAGCAAGTCCCCCCCCCTCCCC